AGAAGTACTCAGATATACGAACGATCCTATTTACTCATAGTTTCAGGATCTGATCTATTTAAAGCTATAATAAAGTTCTTTTTCAAAAAAATGTAATCCCTTTTCTATGTCTGCTTTGCTTTGTAACCTCTATACATACGTAATATCATTTATGCCCCACTGGCACAATAGCATGGAAAGCAACAGTTGCTCCCTTGTGTTACATGAATTTAAACTCTATTGTGAATACGTTAGGTATATATTCAAGTGGAACTATTTCAGGTGCGATAAAGGCTTTGATTCCGGATAACGTTTTGTAGGTAAATGTTGCCGTATGTAACATTATGTAAATAGTCCATCGGAGCAAGCGTGGTCCGTGCAAATTACGTGGAATCTATAAGAGCGATTCATACCGTTTTAAAATTTTCTTTGTAATGACGGAGTACGAATATAGTATGATACCATTCATATCTCCATGGTGTCCTAAAACGTGACCAAGCGAATAAAGCACCATAAACTAATGTAAGTAAAACTCGGAAAAACCTCATACTATCAAGAGAGATAAACGCCCAGTAATGGGTCGTTTATGAATTTTACCGGTATATGAATAAAATGCTAAAACATTAAACAAATAATAATATTGATACAAGATAATAAATTAAACATTTCTCTTAATTTTACATCTAATAATAACAATAGCGCAATACAGTTCAACTTAACATAAAATATGGTACACATTTTTTTACAAAGAATGACATACGCTACTTTTTCTCCCAGTCAAAGATTAGAGGCACGGGTATAGGTAATTTAAAATAAATGCCTTTTCCAGTATCTAAGAATTGTTCCAACGTAGAAAATTAATTGGTTTCAGTTGTGAGTCTCGAGCTTATAGTTTTGTTGACGATCTATGTAAGTTCAGTTATTTATACGCAATTTTCCTTTGACATAAGCAATAGTTATATATCTCAATTTTATTACGTAATGGTTTACAAATAAAGAAAAGCCTAAAAAGACAAGCGACGTTATTTGTTCGTTCCTATTCACAATGAATGAATACTTTTTGTTTTTCCTTTTTCTTTTGTTTACATTTTGTTACTTTATTTTTCAACCAATAAAATATGCCAAAAATAAATTATAAATATAATTGAGAAAACAAAATCGTACCTAAAATATTAATGTACATTTTGTTAAAGTTTCATAAAAAAGGGATTTTTACAAATCGGGGACCAGTACTAAAGTAAACCCTTTCGATATTACGTACATAAATTTTGCTTAGTAAAATAATTTGAGATTTTTTTTATACAACTTAGAATGACAAACAAGCTGACGGCGCACCTGATGAAAAGTGGTAATCGTCGCCTATAAACATGAGCAGTACCATGGACATAACAGAGTATACAGTTTCGCCCATGATACCCCCCATGCGTAGCCATTCCTGAGGACTCAGATGCTATACCTTTATACCCTGTAAATTCACGCCATATCCCACCCTTCAAACCAAAACACAACCATGCAAACACAATTACTTTACGGTTGAAACACGAATGGGACAGAGGTACCCAAGCAAACGACTTTTGTACAAAGTCTCCCTCTGGTGAGATTGTGTTCTACAATAAAAAACTGACTTCAATTGTGGCAAAACTAGTTATTTAGATTTAAAAACCAAAGTATTAAACCAATTTTGATAAAACTTCTATGGGACCAATTTGTAAGTACATCCTTTAAGATAAAAAAAATAATTTACCAAATAGATTTACAACTATGAGGTAACAATTATAAAAAAATACACAACCGAATTGAGAACCTCCTTCTTTTTGAAGTCTGTTAAAAAACAGCAACTACATATATTTGAATTTAGAATGCGGAATCATGACTTTCCTTTTACATTTTGCTTCGTAACATGCATTTATTTCGCCCTCTAAATAAATACGGCGGCTTCAATGATCACGAAATTAATATAAAGAAGTAAACTTAATTAAATGCAATAACAATTATCAACATCGGATCATATTGGTGATGTTATTGCTTAAGGTAGTCACAATAAATACAGATTAATTGAATCTTCTTTTGATCGAATCGACAGGTATTTTCAAAGTCGCATAAAAATACCGAAAATGTTAAAATATTAAAATGACGGTAGTATCCACTACGGCTATGTCCCGTCTCCGTTCAACAGGTGGGCAGACAGTTCGCTCGCGCCACTATCTAATTGTCGTTCATATTTATGAGACTTGGCACTTTTTACCCGCAGTCTGCACCGTTTTCAAACGGTTTACATTCAACTTTTAGAAATCTGCTTCACACTTTTCTGTTCGTATACTGTGAAAGAAAATTTTAACATTTTGATTTTAGACTTGAAGTCGATAGATACTTTCTAAGATCTCTATTATAGAATTGTAATAATGGGTAGAAATACTTTGATGTTGCTGTTTAATGGAAGATCGAGTATCAAAAAACTTCACAAAGTATCAGCCAACTTTTGACGCGCATTTATTTTAACGAAAATGCACCGTTTTCCGTTATTGTAATCAATTTCTTTGATACCAATAAGATTGTGTTTTATAGAAAAAAACTTACTTCATTCTTGGCAAAGTAAACATTCATTATATTATTTTTTTATTCATATTAATTTTTTTTCTTATTTCTATTTCAAAACTGTATTACTGAACCGATTTTGATAAAATTTCTATGGCATTAATCTGTATTTTTTTCCTTCAACCTTTCAGATAAAAAAATAAATTTCCAAACCGATTTACAACTGATGGTGTTATGAGGCAACAGATAAAAAAATTCAATCGAATTAAGAATCCTTCTTATACCTATCCACCTCCTTTTCAATCTGCTTTCATGCTCGCCTATCATGGCTTACTGGTATCCTGCCAGCGTATACCGATAGCGCAGGCGAGGTTACCATTTCTTTATCAGCCATTAAAAACAAAAAACCTCCTTAAATTCAATTGATTCTCTGCTTCCGCGCTTGCGACCTCAGTTTGCTCAAGCGCATGAAAGCGCTCATTCGTTCGCTTTTGTAACAAAATCGCTGCGCTTGGGCACCAAGTCAGTGGGCACAATCGTCCAAATATCTTAATTCACATTCTCATCTTTACTCTCTTCTTTCTGTTTGTAGTGCTTCTGACTTTTTATGTATATACTTAATTTGTGTTTTAATTGCTATCAACGTATAAACTGTTTTTGTTCTAAAGCTACTTGTTATTATTTTTCTGGTACTACCTACCCATCCATAATTTAAGAATACAATTTTGACTGTTAACTTACAGATTAGAAAAAGAGGTACCCACGCATATGACTGGAATTGGTTATATTGCACATATAACCAATACCTTGATTTTTTTTACAACTTAGAATGGCAAATAAGCTGACAGCCCACCTGATGGAAAGTGGTAACCGTCGCCTATAGACATGAGTAGTACCATAGACATAACAGAGTATACTGTTTCGCCCATGATACCCTCCCTGCGTTGCCATTCCTGAGGACTCAGATATTATACCTCTATACCCTGTAAATTCACGCCATATCCCACCCTTCAAACCGAAACACAGCCATGCAAACACAACTGCTTCACGGTAGAAACACGAATGGGACAGAGCTACCCAAGCAATCGACTTTTGTACAAAGTATCCCTCTGGTAAAAATGGTTGATAAAGCCAAATATTAAATACAATTCTGACCTTTCACTGGCTGTCCAATAGTATATAATACCTATATAGGTAGATATAACTGAGTGACTTTACCACACTTTTTACGCAGACCGGACCATTTTTCGTTTACATTCAATCCAACCTCTGACATTTGCTTTTCACATTTCAATGCAGTTAAATGAAATGCCAATATCAATTTTAGGTTGCAATTTCGAATAACATTATAAGTGAAATAAGCTGTAATTTGGTTATGGAACACGACAGATATGTTACTGTATACATTTTATAGGCAATCTGAAAAACGCCTATGCTTTTTAAGCTACATTAAAAAAAAAGATTTATCAATTCGTCTATATTTTCAACCTACTTCAAAAAGGAGGTTCTCAGTTCGGTTGTATTTTTTTTCTAATATTTATTACCTTATACCTCTGGCAGTAAACCGATTAGGAAAATTATTTTTTTTTTATCTGAAATATATTGACTTTTTAACTGATATACTTACAGATAGGTCCCATGAAATTTTATCAAAATCGATTCAGTAATTTTTAAATCAAAATAACTGGTTTCCCCACAATTGAAATCGGTTGTTTTTTATATAACACAATCTTAAATTATATTTATTGAGACTATATAATTCATATGTAATTATATTTACTATAACGTCGCAAATTTTTACCTTATTTTGATAATACATATTGTGTTCTATAACATATACTCTTATGTTGGCCCCATATTCATTTCGTGCCGCAAAAACGGTAGCTATATAATAGTTACCGTTTTTACGGAGCACAACTGCTTATTTCAATGCAAAATGTACTTATTATATACTCTATTATGTCATTATCACTTTCCATCAGGTGGCCCGTCAGCTTGTTTTTCATTCTAAGTTGCATAAAAAACATTTTTATTAACTATGTTATTTACAAAAACAACTGTCAAAATCGATTCAGAATTGGAAACGTAATCACATACAATCTAAACAAACTCTGTACCTACCTTCTTTTGAAAAATGATTAAAAATTGAACCAAATCTTACTAATGAAGATGATAACAGCTATAATCTCTAACGGAGTAGTTAGTCAGAGGCACTTGACGACTACATTTAATATATATATATATATATATATATATATATATATATATATATATATATATATATATATATATATATATATATATATATATATCAACGTATCTTGTCATGAAAGGGGAAAAAATAAAAATACCCAACTAAGCCAAAATTATACTTTAGTACATTTTCTTTATATTTAAACATGTGTTGAAATTTTTTTTCATTTGATCGTTTTAGATGGCTATTGTACTAATAGTGTCCTTACAAAGTATCTTAATCGTCTGTGCAGGTTCTAAGAAGGGTGATACAAAGGGCGCAAGCAACATCAAAGAGAGCGGCGCGGATCAAAGAGCCGCCCACAGATAACAGAGAGAGAGAGGATAAAACCTTCATCGTTTGATATCCGATTGTCGGTGAGAGATCGCGCCTCCGTACAAATGCCGTATGAAAAGGTGTTACAGATGTATGGTTGTAAGTATAAATACATAGAAATAAACAAACAAATATGCTAATGACTGTAATCCCCCTGAGTCGTCTTTTTTAATGGGTGATGATGAAATTGTAACTCTACTCGTATAGTAAATTCTGATGAAGTATCACTAAGTTGTGATAGGTGAGGATGCAGTTAAGTCAGTCGGTCCATCGTAGCAAATTTACCACAAATTAACCATGATAGTATTCACAGATGCTGCGTGGAAGTCAACCAGATAGAGTATATTAGTAGCAGTGAGATCATCTCTACTACTAATAATCCCTCTCCCCCCCCTCCTCCGTGGGGTGGTTAAATGCATTTTCGAATGTTGCTGTTATAGTGAATAATTCACTTGACATACGTATATTTTACCGAGCTTATTAGAAGTACAATTAATAATAATTAATTCAAATATCCATACTGCTGTTAAGATGGTAACTACGTAAGCTATGGTCACTCTATTTATATATAGCAGAAAATATTGCTGAATTTTTAATTTGTCTGTTCGAATATATGTTATCTATAGATTTAATTTAGTTTCAAGTGTTACATACCTAACTATTGTTGAAGAACATGATTATTACCTATAAACACTCTTCGTAAGTTTGGAACTTGTGCGTATCCCTTTCATGTTATACTAGGAATTGTAAATTATTTCCATATAGTATGTTTATATACCTATACATAATTACAAAACAATGCAACCTATGAACATCCCTCCTTCCGGATGACGTCGAAATCAGAAATATGAACAAATGACGGTTTCTGACTGTAGTTTGCCTTAAAAAGAAAAAGTAATGGTATATTTGAAGAAACAATTGACAAACAATTCATCATCATTCATTCAACTCAGCCGTTATCTGTCCACTGCTGAACATAGGTAGTTGCCACGCTTGGCAAGTGAGTTGGCAACTATAGTTAAACTTGGGTAATGTTTAAAGGGAGATGCTGCTGCCGCACATAATAAACAATTATTATCGGCTAATGTTAAAAAAATTTAAATAGTGTAAAATAACAAAGAAAAGGGGGTCCTTATGTTACAATTAAAATACGCACTGAAAGAGACATAAGGTAGGCAATGTACATTATACGCGGTTGAACCCGCCACAAAACCGGTTCACTTTAATCTCGACAATCATCCGTGTCAGTTTCGTTCCAGTAAATCTACCGGTGTCCCGAGGCCGCGCATGTCTGGCCGGATTACCCGGCTCGTCCGGATGTGCGGAGCGATCGTGACTCCGCACCCGGCACAGCGATTAGTCCCACTGCCCTTCTTGTTGGCGAATTCCGCACGGGTCATGCCCGGATAAACGATGGAAATAGATAAGTAGAAACAAATATTGATTTGAGTGACAATATATATTTTTCTTTTACTTTGTTAAAATGATGTATCTATCTACCTATTTTTCTTAGAATTGTTGTTACAAATTGTGTATGTATGTACTTTTATATTTAAAAAGAGATCACAAATATTCGTAAGTAAATAAATGCATGTTTGTTAATCGCGAAATATATTTTGCAAATATACAGGATATATACTAATGTACTAGTTTTTTGCCCGCTACTTCATGCTCGTAGAATTCAAAAGTAGGAAAATTATTAGAGTATTACAAGATTGTATATCGAAATAAAACACACCAGTTTTTAAGTTAGACCTTAAAGAATACAGTTATGAAAACTGCATTCAATTTCATGTAATAGTGTTTGCGTGATACTGGAATAAACATACAGACAGATAGATAAAATTTCTAAAATTATTGTTATGGCTGTAAATATTGTTTTGTTAAACTGATATGAAGAATCTTAATAACAGCAATAGAGCTCTTATTAAAACTTCTCATATAAATTTTTCTTAAATATCTTCCGTGTGCAGAAATAATCTAGTTACAATTTTTTTATATATATTAGAAAGATATAAAGTCTATAATATGTATATACAGTAACTACAATATACTAATCTTGATTACATGAAGTCTCATAACTGGTAATGAAGTAGCAAAACGAGGCAAAATTATATCATTGTATTATCTCATTTTCTAAGCACTATTATTCTTTTATTGTTATAAATTAAAAATTACCTATAACTTATTATATTATTACTATTTATAATAAGTAACATTATTCGTAAATTCAAAAAACTACATATACTTTTTGATGTTATAAGTTAGACGAAATTTTATTTAGATTTTTAAGTATCCACACCACATACAAATTGAAGAGGAAATTGAAAACCTTTTTTGAGAAGAACAGGAAGTTATTCTTACTTGGAGGTCACGCGTATTCTTGGGGAATTAACACACATTACGAGATGTTATTGCTTGAGAATACACGTAGCTGACAAGGAGAAACTCATCGTGCACCAATAGTACAGAAGATGAGCATCGAAATCTACATGCGATTGAAGTCCACCGGTGAAACTGGATATTTTCCCCAAAAAGCGATCAATAAAGGACAAACATTTTTAAATCTCACTGTGAGTGTCAGTGAGTCACCTTACTAACTGGACAGCTGAACGCTCAGCTGTCCATTTAGTAAGGATCGTTCAAATTTTTTTGTCGTTTTTGAATCTTTCATTTACGAAATTCCTTTCTTATTTTGTGGCATGAGTAGATTCTTAGTTTCAGGTATAGCTGAAGACTTCAATTTCAACTTATGTATAATGGGTATTTTATGTACATATATGGATTTTTATACAATCATTTTTTAATTGTATTACTTGACGGCTGCCATCTTCTAGTTAAATCTCCTAAAGATATTAGTTATATATATAGGTGAACAATATCAAGTCTTCTAAACTCAGTGCCTTTTTGGAAAATTAATAAACAAATTATATGATACGAGTATATATATGAAAACTCTCAGTGACATTTATTTATATATACAGTGATTTATGTCTTATGTTAAAAATTTGTATGCCATTTTAAAAATAAGCTGCTCAAAAATAATCGTATTGATAAAGTAATTTATAAAATAATTACTTTTTGTATGTACGAAACGGTTAAAAAATGTCGTGGCCATCGAACATATTCAATATGTATTTTTTAAAATTAATTTTAAATCTTTCTAATTATTTATTATTCTATTTTTAAAATTTAATCCGTCAATAATTGTGGTAAATTTTAGTTTAAAAGACAAACGATGAACTCAAAATAAAATTATTATTTCTAAGAGGACCCGGACTAATATCAAATTTGTTTGTTTACAGGCAAGAAGTTTCCAGGTCTGCAGACACCTAGACAAAACTACTAAATTATAGGCTTATATATTATAATTGTAAATGTGATTAAATATGCCTGTCTTTTTTTCTAAAAGTTTTATTTATCCCTCCAAATACCTACTTAAAATATTTATACTAAAATCATGTTTAATATATTCTGCTCGTCATAGCACGATGTGGGTAACACAATAGTAAAACCATAAAAATGACTGAAACGTAACATATAGATACAACAATATATTACATATATATACAAATGAATAAATTTCAATAAAATAGTAGGTAAATGTATGAAAGTATGTGTTTTATTTCTTATCCTTGTTATTCCGAAGGTAAATAAAATTAAAATATGTGAAAATATTTGAATATTATCATAATTATAATATACTAGGTTTTACTTGCGGTTTAGTCCGCATGACCGAGATATGACCAGAATAAAAAGTAGCCTTTATCTTTCTCCATCCCATATAGTACATATATACCAATTTCATAGATTGCTTAAACTGTTAAGGCGCTATTAGGTAACAAACAAAAAATAAACTTATTTATTAATAAACTTACGTATTAGTAAAAATTATATAAACTAAATAAATTATTATCATTACAAATTACGAATAATACTGTAGTAAATCATCGAATATACAAAGTAATTATTAGAAAGAAAAACTATATTCCGAGGTTTAAAGATTAATAAAGACAGATTTAAAATTATGTCAAAGTCTATTACTTACAGTCTACGTACTACAGTACCACTTATCATATCAATATATTTACAGCTATTATCAACAAATACCCATGCCAATAATGATGACTATTTTTGAGAAGTACAAATACATTGAGTTTGTAAACTATTGCTTAAAATGGTTTCATCGTATCGAGAAACTTTAAGAAAGTAAGACTCTAATAAAATATGTCTTTTTGGGTACCTTGTATTGAATTGTAACAGCCGTTAACTGTCCTCTGCCGGACATAAGCCTCTCTTCATAAGGAGGGTTTTGCCAATAGTTGTTACGCTTGGCATGCGGGAATTAAATAGGAGGTTTTTTTGTTTTTAATGGGTGAAAATGAAATGGTAACCCCGCCTGCGCTATCGGTATACGCTTGGCGGGGGCACCAGTGAGAGGTGATAGGTGAGAGTGAAAGCAGGTCAGTTAGCCCATTGTGAAGAATTCTGTGAGAATTAACCACGAAGGTTTCAAGGGGGAACAGCGTAGAGGTCGACTTGATCAGGTACATTGTTAACAATGGAACTGGTAGATCTCATTACTAACAATCCCTTCCCCCCTGGCAGGCGGGTTGGCAACTGCAGTTAGGCTTTGATGCTGTTTTAAGAGGGACGCTGCTGCCTATCTCTCGACCACTCTCTTAGTCAATTTTACTTTACCTGCTCGTATTTCTATTGTCAAGCCATGTCAAAATGCCTTCATAGCTGTGAAGCAAGTATGTGTAATTGTGGGCAACATATGGTTGTGAAATTATGGAATACGGGTATATAATGTCTTAGTCCTTATGAATGACAGCTCATTAGTATCGTGATAACACAGTGTATTCTTATTCTGTCATAAGCATGGGGCTGTTCATGACCATAGGCAATAATTACCACTTATCATCAGGTGGGTTGTCAGCTAGTTTGTCATTCCGGGTTGGATGCAATTTTAAAAGACTTAGCAACGAAAGTAACAATGATTCACATGTTTTCGCCTGGTGGTAGTAATCATCGCAGCCCATGAACGTTATCTAGATGTTATTGATCTAGCCATAAGTTCGCAGTAGGCGCTGTCGCCATCTATATCGTAGAAAATTATTTATCTTTATTCCATATAACCTTCCGTAGCCAATCTAGAGACAAATGGGAGTGTTATATATTAATATATAAAAATCCCTTGTCATGTGTTCACGCTAATCTTGGAAAACTGCTCAACCGATTTTTATAAAATTTTGTAAATGTGTATCGTTTGCTCTAACATGAAAGATAGGATAATTTTTATTTTCTGATAAGAAAAAATAGACCTAGTAAAATAGCGGTAATGAGCAAAACAACGCTGGTGAGGATGAAACACGTCAGTTAGGCCATCGGAAAGAAATTCAAAAATAAATGAAACGCGATGAGTTCGAACTGATAGGGTTTATTGCTAGCAATAAGATTGCTAATCCCCACTACTGACAATTCCTTCTCCCGCAGCCACACAATGTTAACTAGTTCCAAAACTAAGCAGATACCTGATAACTGATAAACATACGTGCCATCCATGTGTTTTTGACATCTCTCATGTATTATGTTATCACCACGGCGCTGTTCGCTTATCACAAGTGGATAGCCAGTGTGTCAAATTGTCATTTTCAGTTACTTAAAAAAACTTATTCTTGTAAAAATATATGACTAAAAAAATATAACTTTTACACTAGTAACACTATATATACTTATGAATATAAATGTTGTGTGGGGATCGAACTCGATGCCCTCAAGTCGCAGGTCAAAGACTGTAAACTTCATCAGAAAGGTCATCAGGTAACAAATTAGAAATAAATAAAATAAAACTCAGTCTAACCCAAACAGAACACAAGTATATTCTACCCACCCTGTAAAATACCCGCCTTGATAATAACTAAATAAAAAGTTTTAATATAACCACATTATCTTAGATTTGAAACTAGAGGATTGTTAATAACAGTGATTATTGGAGGTCGCTATTTTTATTGCTTAATAACATATAATCCCATATAATCCCACCTGAAAACTATAGTGATGTTTAGTAAATCTGTCACGATGAAGCAAATGACCTGACTTCATTCTTATCTATAGGAGGATTTAAGAACTGGCACAAAGGCCAGAATTATCTCGTATGCATGTGTTACAGAAAGTGATTAAACAAGAGATGTACCACTTCTTTGTAGCATAATATATGGTTTGGATAATCAAAGACGAACTCTTGTCTACTTCAGTTTATATCATGTTTATAACTTAGACTTTTCGATTTAATATTTAAAACTATAAAGTATGTTGCTGTTGTATACTGTATGTTAACAAATAGGGTTAAATAAATGATAAAAAATATGGGAACGAAAACATTTATTACCAGAAACTAAATCACTGAAAAGAGTATGCGAATCTTCTGCACTGTTTACAAAGCATATTTAAAGTAACAAATTACAAATAGTAACACAATACGTTCCTAAAGACAATAATATATAAATATTTACATGGCCGGCGACATCAACACCGAATAGTCTTAAACACTACAATCACCGTATCAATACGACAAATTACCTACAAAGAGAAAATTAAAACTTTATTTGGACACAAGCCGCAGTTCAATACATTTTCGATTGTGACATTATAATAGTTAGGTACTTTACAATATTTCTTTGTAATGACTTTATACAATAGACTGTATTTAGTATAACCTAAGGCGACTGAGATATATACCATCACATAAACTGTAATTGAACAATCAGCTAAATACATACTTGTAGGTATAATGCAATTGTGATAAAAAAAATGTTTCTAATCTACTTCATCGACTTCAGGGGAAACAGTAGGCTCTTCTCTTTCTGTAATCACAGACTCATTACTTGGTAGAAAAGGCCGACTGGCCGAACCAGCGTTTAAACCAGTATATTCTTTTCGTCTACGGTCTAATGTTAAAGTTTCAACTAGAGTATTGCTTGCACTAACGCCTTCAGTATGAGCTCCACTTGGTAAGATCAGATCGTTGTCAGTGTTCGAACTTACAGTACCACTATTGGTATCAAATCGAATCTTGTTTTCATTACTAGAGTGTCTCCTTGCTATTTCTTCTATTTTTATATCTCGATCGCCATTGGCAGTGACAGAGTTATCTTTGTCAGCGTTCGTGACATTTTCATTAGAGGTCGCCGTAGCAATATTTTCGTTGTCATTTGCTGTAGGCGTATTTGTACCCATTGCATTAGTTTCTGGAGGACCCGTTCTCGAAGATACAACGTCACCTGTATGCGTTGTGTTAGTCTGTGCGGTAGACACAGAAGGAGAGGTCTGTGTTGTAGATTGTGCTGTATTTTGAACAGTTTGCGTTGTGGATTGGGTCATTGGCGGTGTAGCTTGAGTGCCAGTCCCAGGAGCGTCATGGTATGCTGCACCACTAGCTAATGCTGCAATACCCGCTAAACCCATCATTCCCATTCCTCGGTGAGTGCGAAGTAAAAGTTGCTGGAGCTGCGCTTGCTGTAGTATTACAGGAAGCTCGTAATGGTGGAAAAAGTAAAGCATGGAGTGCTGTAACAAAACAATGAATTATTGAATTTTCTAAAATACAAAATATACTTGAAATATTGCATATTGTGTGAGGCTTAAAGAAACGTATGGCAATAAATAGACGGTAACAAGATAATCCGCCAATAGCAGGCGGCGGGAACCGGCAGTCGGTTGCTATAGATGCCTTTAGACGTTCGGGCGGAGATTATGAGACACGTTCGTCGAACTGAGCAAAACTCCTTTAGACAAATAAATGAGTAGCTCGTGACGATGTCGCAGGTCCTCTCGTCTTTATTTATTTATTTCTAGGTCAAAGTTCCCTCCCCTTGCAATGTCCGACGTAAGTTTTAATTAAGAAACTTGTGACCGTCCCGGACTCAACTTTTATTTGAAATTATATTTTCTGATCCCCTCGTTTTGATTTTCTCCGAGTGGCGGTGTAACGGGTTACCGACGACGACAAGTTGCGACACCTTCATGATTTATTATTCTTGGCGTGCGCCGTGCCAGAAAATTGAAAGAATTTCCACCATCCATTTTGCATCAACATTTTGTAATGCTCAAAAAATACATCAAATAATAGATTATTATTTTTTTTTATTTTAAAATTTGAGCCGAATAATATTTACCTAATATCATAATAAGAATAAAATAGAACCCTAATTAAACCTATCCTGTATCAAAGTGACTGAAATTGACATAGAATCGGTACATGTGTAAATTATACTGGCTTAATTAACACGACCCAATTCTACCCAATCTGTTCACGGATCATCGCCACAGTAAATATAAAAAAGGATCAAACGTTTAAAAGGTATTTAATGGACAGAGATGATGCCCTTTTATGCGTCCATTAAATCGGCCGCTTTGAGATTTACCGCTAGCCCTGTTAGATAGGTATGTGAATGAAAAATGGGGGCTTTTTTATCAATTTTCAGATCGTTTGTAGCAGATTACGTAGGCTTGGCTTGGATAGACAAAGTAACAAAGTAAAAAGTTTTTGTTAACTGAGAAATGGTATATATTTTTCTCTTCACGTTGCTTTATATCAAAAAGATTGTTCTGATATAAGTATCTGTATTAATAAATAAAAAAATATGACATCTTATTCATTTAAAAACGAAATGGTATATCAGATTTCATCAAAGGAATTATTAGCTTTCATCTAACAAAAATGTTATTATACATAATTTTAATATTACATTTACTGAGAATATTTAAAATTATTGAAACGTAACATTAAAGTTACATGTTATTTTTCAGTGCAATGATCTTCAAATGGTGCATATAATAATTGTCATGAAAAGCATTAGGTTGATACAAGTGAAGAAGTGCAAAAAGAGTGAAACAGTGCTGGAACGATTTAACACTTCAAAGGCAGAAAGCTCTTTGTGGTGATAAATTTTTTAGCCGCAAAATTGCCTTAAACACTTTGCGGACCGCGCGTTGATTATGCCAAGAAGGTAGAAAACCTCTGACGAAAATAATGTTATTTTGATTTAAAATGCAAAGAAAAAACAGTGGACGCTCGGGCATTCGGTGAGACATTTTTCCAGTAACACTCCCTCCTTTTCATTTAACTAATCCCGACGTAGATGCGAATACTGTGCTTGCAAATTATACGAGTAAAAGAAAACATTGACTGTCTCAAAGGATGTAGATTAAAAATATGTTTGCTTTCACTTGTCAAATTATTTTATTAATTTGAAATCACAATTTAAATCAAAAGATATCGGTCCCGGTCACGAAATGACCTGAGACTTTATTTAACCATAAATAATGTTTATGACTGTTACAGAATGGATAATAATCCACCTTATATATTAATTGACTATATTCCAATCAAAATTTTTAGTCTCCGAATTACCTACCTCTGAAAAATGTAACATTCTGGTTAAGAAAAATTATCAACACTAAAAAAATATAAATTATTACAGTGTTGTATATGCATTTAGTTCTTATAAGTTGCAAAGTATAATTGTGTCATTTTTAAGTTATTAAATTTTTGATCAATCGATGCCCAGTACACGACGGTTCATTATCACTATATCAGTCAACGAAATTAATAAACTTTAGTTATATATATATATATATATATATATATATATATATATATATATATATATATATATATATATATATTTATTTATTTATTTATTTATTTATTTATTTATTTATTTATTTATTTTGCCGTTGAAAGTAATATTGACCGGGGTACTGTAATTATCCATATGAAACAACAGCGTATAAACAGTATATCACGCACTAACTTCAGTATAAGCTTAAGTACACAGTAGTTATATTGAATGAATTGCAAATGGTTGGTAAACTACTGATCAATGAATTAACACAAAAGTTATTAACTTCAATGACATCTAGGTTTAATCGGTTACAAGCGTATTTACTCATAATGTAATTAATTCACTTCACATGTTTATATGTACTGAACGTAGGCATGTATGTAATTTATTCAAACGTTTACATATTTACATACATCTACATACAAGAAAATTGCAGAGAAGTCGAGCTGTACACGACGTATTTCATAGTAGGTGATTTATTAATTTAATTGATATTTAGAGCGTATTTTGTGATAATTTCGTAATGCTGATCTTTTTAATAATATGAATTACTAACCAGTATCTACAAAATGTAACACGCATTCGTGTCATAATTGTAAGATACATTACGTATAGAAAAGTAAGCTTTCTTTTTTATGAAAGGTAAGCTGTCAATTTCCCCACCATTATATATTCTTTGTTTTAGTACTTTTAAATTATGAAAGCGAGCAAGTCTTATAATAATATTACCCTTTGTGTATATGCAGGTACAGAACATACCACAATGTAAGCAGTTGGGAGTGTTTAACTTAAGTTTAACTATAATTTGCAAGAGATCTGGAAGATTACAACATTTTAGCGTGTTTCCATGATGACGGGGCCTTTCCTGTTGATTTAGGACTTGACAGAAATTAGCCGAAGTAGACCCATTAAACCTCCACAATAATGTAAGCCCCGGAGTTAGTCGCCGTCTATGCATTTCTCTATTATTATTTTGGCACGGCAAGAATATTAAAGCCGATGGAAAGTTAAGCAATTATTAATTTAACGTTGAAATCTAGTTTGAGCCTCTTGTCAACAAGTTGTTACAGCGTTTAAAATTAATAATATAACGCTGTTCAGACTCGGGCGGACTCGAGCGTCGATGTTATGCGCGACGCGTCCTCCCGAAGCGGACAACCTCATGAAATATGATTTTTATTAATAAGTTGACACGCTCGATGATTATAAGATAAGCCCCCACTTTGCATTCCGGAGGGGCTTCTTGTTTTTCGACATCGCCCTGCGTACGCGTAATCCAACGAGGCTCGGCCGACTGCTACGCTCGCACATTTCGGTGCTTGGATGTTTCTGTATTCTAATCTAACAATCCCGTTTTCATTATTCCGTTGTTGCACCCTTGTTTATGGGATTAGTTGAGGCTGTTCAGTATGTAGAATTTATAAACTCAACATTTATATCTATTTATATTTTCCTTGAACGTTCGTATACGAGTACAAAAGACGAGCTAAGAGAATAATAATAAAATGAACATCGCCGCGGGCACGGATAACTATTAGGTATAGATAGAATACACTGGAGGGGACAAGGCCAAACATTCCGGGGACGTTGAATGTATCGAAGAATTAACTTGTATTTATGTATAAAAGTTATTGATTTCCAAAGGTCATTGTAATAATGTTGCATAACTACTAAGATGACATTTATTTCGAAGAAATCATTCTTAGTAATACATATGTACCCCTTTGTAAAACTTCAAGTCTATGTAAGCGAGTAGTATTTCTGTATTGCTGAATTCTGTCTTCTTATTAAGAAAGAGATCTATCCTAGAGACATTGAAATAATACATCCAAACCAGTATAATTTCCTTTCACAAATGTTAAGCAATACTTTTGCCGCTTACTTTACCTGTTATACGGGGAGGCTACAGTCGTTCTACGCGGCGTGTTATTAACTTCCGCACAGCAACGTGGCCGGAAATCGACGCCGGGACTGTTCCGGCACCCGTTGCACCGTCGTCCTTCTACGTCCACCTTAATATTCGTATTTCACATGCATTTTCACTAATAATTTCGCCTGACCTCGACTAAACTACTTTTAAAAGACTACTTTTAACTTTTAGAATCACACCGAATACATGTGATGCCAGTGTTTCAAAATTTATAGTAAATGAAGATGAAAATTGTTTAGAGTTCTATGCACAGTACCTATAATAAAGATTTATAGAATGACTTTGTGGTCTTTCTATTTGTGGCTTCACAATCTTACAAAAATAAATTTATTGTCTCTTTCCTACAAAATAACATTTGATATTTTTAATTTTGTATAAATCTTTATACATAACGTCATTTTATTTGACAATCTACACTAACATTATAAAGAGGAAAGATTTGTATTTTTGTATGTATGTTTGTAATGAATAAACTCAAAAACTACTTTTCCGATTCCAAAATATCTTTCAGCATTAGAAAGTTACATTCACCCTGAGTAACATAGGCTATACTTATTGCTAGAAAAGATTAGGGATCTTTATTAAAATTTTAGTAACGTAACTGAAGGTGTAAAAAAATGCTATAAAATATCTTTGGTCGCATGCGCTGCGGAAACTATTGGTGATAGAACAAAAGTATGTTCTACAATATTGAAGAAAATATCAATTACTACAAAATACTTCGCGATACTATATGTGCAATTATTATTGTTATATATATAGACCGAGAATTTTCGAAAATCTATTTCCAATGCTTGCTAAACGTCACAATTATATTAAAATATAAACTTCTACTAATACAGAAGTTAATTTATTATTCAACCGAAAATCAAAAATTCTAAACATCATTTTCGTATAGCATATTGCATAATAAATAAGCACTACTAAAGCAAACTTTATTCAATAGCAATTATACACATATTTTTAATTTGTTTCATCTTTTGTGTAATTTTCGAAATAATTTTAAACTTATTAAATCTTAATGTTTCTAAGCCTCTATGATGACTTGTGACATCAGTCATAAGGTAGATCTGATACTATTTCATCATTAAAACCACCGTTATTTCGGATACAGGGTGCCCCGAGCGAATGGAAAATATTACACGCTCCACTGTTATTTATACTGACTCTGTATATCACCACTTTGTATATACCATCTATATTTAAAAAAAAACTGATGCAGTGATGATCAAACAGATATTAATAAAAGTTTAATGCACGTTTACTATTCAGATCCTCTAAAATTAACTTCCGTAACAAATTGTTCAGATATCACTGAAATTGAGAAATTGTTCGATCAAAGTTTTAATCAAAGTTTACCAACTTTCGCGTATTAAGTAATACAATTAGTAAATTGAATCAAACTTCAAACGAAAAAATATACTCAGTTTATTTTTAGATTACACAAGTGTTTGAAAAACTCTAAAACAAATGGTAACGCCAGGCTTTCAAGCCTATTGAAATTAATTAAATTCATTTATGGCTACGGAATCTAATATAAATAATAAAGATTATTCGATATCGCTTTTACATATACCATAATTTAACAGTTTATCTCAATTAATAATATAGTTTATTAAATAAACAAAAATTCTTCGTCATAAATCATGCTATATTTTCTGAATCTGAGCGACGGTATTTCATAAAGTTAATGTAAGTAACACTTATTTTTCTTTTAGAAATCTGACATGTGTAACGCAATTCCAAACTAAAAATTATTTTCGTAAAAAATTGCCTGTGTGGTTATCAAGGAAACACACGATCTTATGGTCCAGTGAGTTGTCTACACATCGCATGTTATATTTTATATCTGTGACACTAAAGTTGAGTTTTGTGGGGGTGATTACCGTCAAATACGTCTTGGTCACAATAACGTATGAGGACGTGATTTGTTGACAAATACTCGTAGGCCGAGTTCGCGTCTCGGGACTAAGGAGCTTTTCTTTTTGTTTAAAAATAATGATAACTGTATAGTGCAGATGTGATAAAATATTGTGCGTGTGTGCGTGTGTATATCCTCATTTCAATTGAAGATGATACGTGTTAACTTTCATCTAGAACATATATATATATATATATATATATATATATATATATATATATATATATATATACGTTCAATTTGCAGATTAAACCGTTATATTTACCTGAGTTTATTTTTCTAACTATTCCTACTCAACCTGTAATATAGGTATAACTTCAAAGTAATCAAATATCAAATACTTTTGACAATCTTTACAAATGTAATATGCACCCTGTAAGTTCGTCAAAATTGCAATACCATTGACGATACGACATGAATACTAAAACAATATTCCTTTTCGAACAGGTATATCAAGGCAGCAATCTGGCATCAACGCACCAAACAAATAAGATCACAGCACCAGTATTAATAACTGAAGCAGGCCAGTGGAAAGCTAATATGGCTTTGTGCAAACAGTTTACCCATTAAAGTTGACATGCATATGACCGGAGCAATGCCGTCGGAAATCAAAGTGCTCGGACGTCCGGGTAAACAGACTAGCTCGTGTGAAATGCGACTGTACCTAGTGAGCTTCAAGTAAATACATATTTTTAATGTACTTTTTTAATAACTTCCAAATACAAAAGTAGTTTCAAAGTGAGGTGTTTGAAAAGGTGAAGATAAATACTTTGAATTTATTTCTAACATGTAGTTTTTAGACTTTAATAACCTAAATAGGTACTTACCTAGTTAGATTAATTTTACATAAAATACCGCCTTAATTATCGTTTTTTGTAAACCATAAATATAGTAGTAATTAATAAAGTTATGAAAGTCTTAACTAATTACTACTATGTTTAGAAACGTGATTTAGAAACATGCACTTTATACATAGTTATATTTGTGATATAGGAGACTACAAAGGATATCTCGAAAATCTCACAAAAGTAATGAAAAATCAATTCCAATTTTCATTAAATCATACCACAATTCCACTGATGGACACGGATCTGTCGTTATTATTACATAATTAACTGAATTATCTTTTGATATATTTCGAGGAACATATATTTTGATATGTTTTCTTGGACAAAAAAGCCGGGTCGGTCACTGTATTGATCTTATTTAAAAATTTTATTAGTTTTCAGTAGCAAGGATGGGACGCCATACGTCATACTTACAATAAAATAAATTACATATATGTATACTTGCCTGGATAAATAGCCATGAGGTGACAAGCGCGAGACTGCTGTACTGCCCATTGAATCGATAGTGGTAAGCGTAGAACGAGAAGTGGTATAAGTAGAAGAATCTGTTGACAATAGAAACAAACAATAATTAGATCATGGAAACAACACCGATGTATAATTATCAGTTTTCAGTCATTAATTTAGAACATATTTCAAGTTTATTATGTATAAATTATAGATATAAACAGGCTAAAGCTTGACCTAATTTTTAGGTATATTTAATATATTAAAAAGCTGTTTAATTTTAGGTTTGCCCTAATCTGTACACTTAAAAGAAAGCGTTATCCTAATAATCAGGAATTCATTCTGATTTCCTGATAATTATGGTAACACTTTTACTTTACATAATTTTATTACTTAAAGTTAATTCTCTAGGACAAAATTTGAATCATGATTATAAATCTTAAACTAATATCTATACCTAACTTTGTAATAAATCATAATATTAAAACACTACGGCATATAATCCAAAACAACATGACCTGAGGCAATTTATGAAACTTTATAAACTGACCGGCTTAAGCCGACTAAACTAAATAACCTAAATTATTTCTTACTGTTTTTTATGAATAAGGTCACTATAATAGTTAATTATAAATCAACCAAACATATATAGCACAAGCACTGATTTATTTTATTCAATAATTTAGTTTAACAACTGAATTTGGCTGCTCATATTATTATTTTAAACATTTTTTAATATTATTTTGTGCTAGGCAGGTCTTTTGTAACATTCAAAAAGTTATAGATTTTACCATTGGGGATACAGTATACTCTGTTTATACCCGTGGTACTGTTTGTGCCGATAGGCAATGGTTACCACTTACCATCAGGTGGTTTATCATTCTAAATTATAAGTAATAAAAAAAGTTCTGAAATGAATAAAATATCAAAAATAATTTTACAAGATAATACTTAACAAAAAGTGTCTTTTTTAATTCCATCCAATTTCTTTTAAAACTACACTACAAATTAAAGTTCTATAAATATCTAACTTGAATTGTAATACTGTCTACCGCTGCCGTCATCAGGACGTCAGGAAAAACGAGATTATTTCAGGCCGAATATGAAATGATACAATTTATTGTAGCTGTCGTGCATGGTAGTGCCAACTAAATACTATGGGATGTTCATGACTACGTTTAATTATATTCTATATCACATAAAAGATGTCATTGCCCTCTAAAACAGGGACTACTGAGCATTCATACTACCAACTGAAATACTGGCTGTGACGTTGTAGTATGTGAGTACTAAATAAATTTAATAAATGTATTCAAAGTTCTTCGCCATCTTTATTATTAAAACAAAATTTATTCAAATGGCGTAGTGTGACGGCATTGTAAAGAACGTCGGCCCGTCACAATCTCGTGCCGAGTTCTAGAGGTTGCGCCGAGCTACTTCTATCTTTTGTGGACGAAACAACAGGGCTTGGGCGATGGACATATTGTCGACAGGCGGCCATAGTAAATGTATATCACTACTTCAGCGCCGTTATTTCATTCTCGGTGGCATCCCGGTAACGTCAGCGTTAGCCATACGACCTAAGAGTGATCAAAGATTACGAATCAACAGTTTACGGATAGATACTAAAAGACAAAATATAGTCAATTTATATGATATTTTTTTAAGAACTTGATTAAGAACCCTTTCAAATGCGTATTTATTATTATTTAATTTCGTTTATACTAAAACTATTTTTAATACAACTTCTCAAAACTTGTTTAATTCAAAAGTGACATTTTGGTCGCTTGCTTATACATAACGATGTGTCTTAAAATACACACGTCTTACTTCACGTCTTCGTCACAGTATTATTCATACAGTTAACCAAAACCAGCTGTTTAGTTTTCTAAATCGCAATATGTTCGCGCAGCTGTCTGCAGCCGTAAAGTAGTCGGTATACGTTGGCACCGCATATAAACAGGTTGTAAGCCAGTACCCATAAACCTTTGTCTGGGACTATCTAGTTACGTGGTGTCGTGGCAGCAACAAGTATCCGTGGACATCATTATGAGCTTATTGAACGGAACACCCATTCCCAAGTGATTCTACGCCCTGTAGCAATACAATATGTAGGATATCGTCTACAGATTCTAGAGTTCTTATTTTTATTACCGCTTCATTGACAACGCTATTTTATCTGGCCATTTGGAAGTTTTTTTTGAAGAAATGTATATATAGACATTAAGTGTTTATAATAAAGATTTTGTTGTTAATGGAAAATTAAAATTAGAGACAAATGCTTCATTTGGCAATTCCAAGAAATTAAATTATATAGTAGTGTGCATTGTTAAAATTATTATAAATTTACTTTATTTACTTACTAGTGCTTGGAATAATAATTTCATTGTAATATTAAACTGAAATTTTAATTTTAGATGTGGAATACTTTATAATGGATCTTATTATTTTCTAAAAAAATAAAATTTTTATTTATGTAGATTAATTTTTTTTTTTATCTTGAATCTTCATGATTTTATTATCGATTTGTATAAGCTACTTATATTATTTATAAAAATCATACATATAAAATTAAAAGGATTACAATTCAAGATTACGAATAAGATACGATAATTATATAATATATAAATAAAAACACTATTCTGACTACGTCTTAACGAATGATGTTGAGTGCATTAGTCACAAAACTGTAATGCTTATCAAAGGCTTTACTAATAAATGATTTCTTTTAGTAAAATTCATTAAATCAATATTTAAAGTACATGTCTTTCCAAGGAGGATTGTTTTGGTCCATCTTGTATATAAAAATGCAAGAGATACTATTCTACAATAGACGGGCCAATCTTATATATTATTGTACAGGTATCATTAGGTTCGTTATCTGCTTATTTCGGTGGATAAATTCCGAATGTGAGGAGGGCGACAAACGGGCCCCGGAAAAGGGGAAATGTCACCTCGTTATCTGAAAAGGTTGCAATTTTATTTGAAATCGATATTCAGTGAGATATATTTTTGCGGAGCAGAGGAAGCCGCCTTGTGCTTTGTCGCTTGCAGGCGTTTGACGGTTCTTTCTTGCACGTTTCACGAGCGTTCTTTTGTTAGTGATGTCATGCAAAATTGATATATGAGTATCAACAATTTAGCAATAAACAGATTTATATTTATTTTCGCTCTTTCCTATAGTAACAGTATAATATTTCTTAGTTAATTAAAATTCTATCAATTAATAAATCAAAGATTAAAGATTACATAAGAACGAAAATAACATATAGGTTAGTTTTAACCTAATTTATATGGGAATATACAGTCAGTACGAAAAAGATATTTGAGTTTTAATTAAGACGCTAGAAACAAAAGATTTAGAACAAGCATCAGTGTGTAACTTTAATATTTAATATGTATTAAAAATACAGTAATACGTGACAATAATAGTTAACTTACAAGCGACACCGTCAAATAAGATTAACCTCGCCCAACATACATAAATGAATAACAAGTAAACATTAACATCAGGTGTATGTTATTTAACTGAGTTAAATTAGACTTATTACGTGTTACATGGAAATATGAAATAAACGTAGGTACAGGGTATACGATTAACATATTGATATGAACACAACACCTCCTAATTAGTCGCTCATGATTAACCGAATCTACGTACAGATTAATTACGTATAGTGACGAACGCGTGAAGATAATATAAATTTGAACGTGTCGCGTATCAAATGTAGAAATAATTTAGTTGTTTACATTATTTAATATAACCAGAATCAAAATTGATTTATAGATAATTTATCTGTGCTCGCGACTTCGTCTGCGTACTCGAGCCAAAAAGTTATATGTTCTCCGTGCCAAATAAATACCACGCTTTTTGTTGGTTGGATACGTTGTATACAAATGTTGGATACTATTTGTATCCAAATATTTTCGAAATCTGATGGGGTCTAAAGCTCCATGGTTAGCAGTCTCAATAACGTTAACCTCCGCGTGATCTGCCTGGAAACTATCCTTAACTTGGTGAGTTCTTGCGAAATAAATTTGTTACAATAGGCCGACCGACAGCAAAGACGGGGTTTATCATTTCATTTTCGTCTCATTAAAATGAAAAGAAAATGTTGATCATCACATTTTTTTATATTAAATTCTAAAGTTACATATAAACTGTAATAGACTAGGATTCTATCAGCATCCTTTTTTATTTATTAGCACAAGACGCAGACAAGAAAGAAGAAAAAACATTACATAAATCGTTTCTTGTAAAAACATCTGGTACGGCGAATAAAAAAAGAGATGCATCGATTAAGTTCTTAGTCAACAATTTCACGGGAACGCTTGCGAATAATTTAAAGCGAGGGGAGGAAATCAAGCGAATCCAGTGTCCGGTGCTAAGCGGCTTCGGAGGCGTCGCTCCTTTGAACGACATCAAACGAAGATTACCTACACATTAAACATACATGTGAAAAAAAGCAAACAGTGTTTTCTTAATGTTATCGTTCGCCTATAAATATTACATCAGTTCACTAATGGAAAATTTAAAATACGTAAGCATTAAAAGCGTATTTCTTTTAGATACTATTTACAATTATTACCGATAGACCGAAAAATTTACAGTCTTTTTTTACATTTTTTTAATAGACAAATAATAATGTATCTTACAGCCAAAGAGAGTTTTTAGTATTTTAATGGTTAATTACAGTTATGTTGGCAAAAAATCGCAACATAATGAGCCTTAAATTTGAATAATGTTTATTGTCAGTTGACTTTTTTTTCTTTCTATTTGTCTACCCCTTATTAAATCTCCCAAGAGAATGAATTTTAACAATAATTCTCTTAGCATTCACTTTAATTATATATAAGAAATTTCTCATATAACATAGGTAAGTATATATATACCTAACATCTGCCTACTAAGAACAGGGGGTGGTTGACACATGCCTAACTGTAATCACTAATGAATTGTAAAAGATGGCTAGAAGAAAAAACGCATCGTACCAATCCATACAATATTATAAACGTGAAAATGAGTTTGTTTGTTTTTCGCCTCTTAGAAGTTTAACAGTTCAACATAAAGTAGTATTTAGAACGGAGAAGAATATAG